TCCTCCAGGGGATCCTCCCGACCCAGGGACCGAACCCAGGTCTCCCGCGTCGCAGGCAGATCCTTGACTGTCTGAGCCATCATGTCAATAATCACTTAGATGTTTGAGAGAAGTATCTCCAGACGGGGTGAGCGGCTGCCCTCAGAGTCCCTGGCGGGAAGTCTTTCCGGCTCGGTCCTTGGGCGGCTGCTTCCCCCACACAGCGCAGACCTGAGTGAGAGGTCCTTCATCCGCTGGCATTTCAACTTCAGTTCTTCTTCTGGGGAGGATTTCCAGTTTTGTTTGAGAAAAGGGTGCTATTGATATTTTTCACACTGTATGAAAAAGTATATGCTGACAGAACACTCGAGGCAAGGGACTTCCCTGGTGATCCAGTGACTGGGACTTGGGGCTCCCAAGGCAGGGGGGCCTGGGTTTGATCCCTGGTCTGGGAACTGGGAGCTTCCCTGGTAGCTCAAAGGCAAAGAATTCGCCTGCATTGCAGCAGCCACAGGAGACACGGGTTTGATCCCCTGGAGGAAGGCATGGCAGCCCACTCCAGCATTCTTGCCTGGAGAATCCCATGGATAGAGGAGCCTGGTGGGCTACAGTCCATGGGGTCGCAAAGAGTCAGACAAGACTGAAGCGACAGCACACACACACGGGGAACTGGATCTCTCATGCTGCAGCTAAGAACTCACACAGCCAAATAAATATTTAAAAAGAAAGCAAGCTTGAAAGAACAGCAAAGAATCCAAAAATGAGAACCTTCATTCCCACCTTTATAGTTTTTGTGCTCTGGCTCCAGTTTGGGGAAGTCATGTGACCAAAGAATTACACCCCACGCTGACGGAGGCCCCATTATCCAAACCACCTGAGAGGATGGTATTTAACCAAAAGACTTCAATAGGCTAAAACCCTGGCCTCTAGATTCTAAGTTTTAAAAGGCAAACATCAGGGACTTCCCTGGGGGTCCAGTGGCTTGGACTCTGTGCTCCCAACGCAGGGCCTGGGTTCCATCCCTGCTCAGGGAACTGGATCCCACGTGCTGCAAGTAGAACATCCCACACACCCCAACTAAGACCCAGCACAGCCAAATAAATAAATAATAAAGTAAAACACTTTTTTTAAAAAATGAAAGGCAAACATCAAGGTGACTCTGGGTGAGCGGATAAAGGCTCCACAAAGCAGGAAGTGAGAGCAGAGAGCCTTTTAATGGTCATCTGGCATAAAGAGAGAGGCCCTGGCCCTGCTTAGGAACTCGAGGCCACTATGCTGAGACCTGACACCAACGACCATGGAAGAAAGGGCATCTCACGGCTTCAGTGCTGCATCTTATCAAAGTGGACAGCCAGGTCTGGGTCTCAGCCAGGATCTTATCAAAGGATGTTAAGCTTTGAGACTTGGAGAGTGGGAACACTGGGCTGGCTCCCAGATCTGCCATGCTCAGCTGACTGATCCTGCCCAAACCCCTAGGTTGGTCCAGGCCGCCACTCCCCTCTCTCAAGTGTTAAAAAAAGGTGATAATACTCATCACGCAGGGTAGTTTATGAGGCTCAGAGAGCAAATGAATAGATCATGGGGGAAGAATTCTGGTGCTCCTGTTTCCAAGAACATGTGTGGAGATGAGTGTGAATCTAAAGATGTTAGAGACCAAGGTGCTCTGCTGTGCTTAATCTCTCTGACTCTTTCTGACCCCATGGACTATAGCCTGCCAGGCTCCTCTATCCATAGGGATTCTCCAGGCAACAATACTGGAGTGGGGAAAAAAAAAAATACTGGAGTGGGTTGCCATGCCCTCTTCCAGGGGATCTTCCCAAACCCAGGGGTTGAACTCAGGTCTCCCGCATTGCAGGAGAATTCTTTACCTTCTGAGCCACCAGGAAAGCCCAAGAATACTGGAGTGGATAGCTTATCCCTTTTCCAGGGGATCTTTCCGACCCAGGAATTGAACTGGGGTCTCCTGAATCAGGTGGAGTCTTTATCAGCTGAGCTACCAGAGAAGCCCCAGAGACCAAGGTAGGCGATGTGAAAGTATAGTTCTGAGACTTCCCTAGCAGTCCAATGGCTAAGACTCTGCACTTGCAATGCAGGGGGCACAGGTCCAATCCCAAGTCAGGGAACTAAGGTCCCGCATGGTGTGGCCAAAAAAAAGAGAAAGAAAATATAGTTCTGTCACTGTTGCCGTGTTTATAACCACCCTAGCATTCTTCCAACGTCTTCACCTGTAACTTTAATTCTTTTGCAACACTCCGAGGAACAGAAGGAAGGGCCAATAATAATGATTTCCATTTTACAGAGGAAAGACATAGAGGCGAAATGCACTGCCAGAGGTCACCTGGCTGGTTTGTGTAGCAAGACTTTCTGTTCAACCCAGTCCAACAGAGCTGGATTCCATCTCTCCAGCAGGTGCTCATGCAACCTGGGGGCCTACAGATGGATTGTAAGGTGAAGAAAGGGAGGGGAAGGCTGTAGATCAGGTGACTCCAAAGACATAGCAACTGTTAATAGGTATGAGGGTTCTCTCAATGGGGAGTGATGAAAATGTTCTAAAATTAGATTATGGTGATGGTTTCACAACTCTAAATATACTTAAACACATTGATTTGTACACTTTAAATAGGTGAATTTTATCTCAACAAAGCTGTTAAGATGTATCAGGGTTTGTGTTTTTTTTTTTCTTTGAGTTTGTGCTAAAGATGCATGTTTGGGTGCTAAAACTCTAAAGAAATGCAAGCAAGTGATTACTGTAAAAGTCAAGATGCCTTTCAGGTGGAGAGAGGGTTTTGTAAGGGTTTTTTAACTGGAATGGGGAAAGAGCCTCTGGGGTCGGTAGCAGGGTTTTATTTCTTGACCTGAAGTGTAAAGGGTGCTTAATAATAATAACAGTAATGATTATTCCTTACGCTGCACATGTGTTTTGTGTAGTTTTCTTTATCTATTCTGTTATGGGCTAAAATGGTTCTAAAGAAATGGGGGAAATCAAGTATGAGGTGATACCATGTACTGGCCAGACTGTAAGGACCCGCCCCCACACTTCCTGGTATTCATGCTCTTGTGAATCCCCACCCCTAAATGTGGGCAGGGCCCGTGACTTTCTTCTAATCAACAGAATGAGGCAAAGGCGAAGGGATGCGTTGGTTATATGTCCGTGTGGTTACATTACAGAAGATTTAATGTCGGGACTGACCTGGTGGTCCAGAGGTTAAGAATTCACCTGCCAACTCGGAAGACACTGGTTCGATCCCTTGGTCCGGGAAGATCCCACAATTCATGAGGCAACTCAGCCCCAGAACCACAACTGCTGAACCTGTGCTCGAGAGCTGGTGCTCCACAAGAGAAGCCAGTGCATGAGAAGCCTGCGCACCGCAGCTGGAGAAAGCCCGCACACAGCGCGGCCAAAACTAAGTACATTAAAAAACATTTTTACCACACATCAACATGAATTAGCCACAGGTATACAGATGGCCCCTCCCTCTTGAATGTATGGCAGAAACCGAACCAGTATTATAAAGCAATTACTCTTCCATTAAAAGTTAACAATTTTTTAAAAAATTAAAGATAGAGTTGTTAAAAGATTGAATGTCCACCTTTTGGGCGAGCTGATCTCCCCCCGTGGGTTTGATGAAGCAAGCAGCTATGCTGCAGAGACCCACTGGGTAAGGACCTGGGGTCCTCAGTCTGAAAACCCACGAGGAACTGAATACTGCCGACAACCACGTGAGCTTGGAAGCAAGTCCTTCCCCAGGGGGGCCTCCACGTCACCCGGCCCCAGTTCACACTCTGACTGCAGCTTTCAAGGCTCCAGAACAGAAGCCTCAGCTAAGCTGTACCCTGACTCTGGCCCATAGAAGCCTTGAGATTGTAAATGTGCGTTGTTTGAAGCCACTGAATGTGTCCTGATAGTATTACACGGCGCTTGACAGCATGCCCCCTGTGGGTGGGGAGGAGGACCCCTAAAATCAATCTCATTGTCAGTGATTCACTAGAAGGACTCACAGAATTCAGCAAAGCTGCTATACTTGTGACTACAGTTTATTACAATGAAAGGACATAGGTTAAAATTAGAAATGGAAAAAGGCCCTTTCATTATAGGGCCATTGCTTAATTCTCCCAGCCTGATGTGTGACAACACACATGGAATACTGCCAACGAGGGAAGCACGTCCAAGACTCGGTGTCTAAAGCCTAGATTGGCCCACGGTAGGCAGATTCCCCGGTGGCTCAGATGATCAAGAGTCTGCCTGCAATGAGGGAAACCTGGGTTCAATCCCTGGGTCAGGAAGATTCCCTGGAGAAGGAAATGGCAACCCACTCCAGCATTCTTGCCTGGAAAATCTGATGGGTGGAGGAGCCTGGCAGGCTATAGTCCACAGGGTCGCAAAGAGTTGGATACGACTTAGTCACTTCATTTTGTAGGCAGAATCACTGCTCATATGGCTGATCTTAATTTCCAGCTCCTCCAGAGATCAAGCTGATATTGAGTGGCCCAAGGGCCTCCGATAAGGACAATTTTATCAGGCAGGATATTCCAAGGGCTTAGATGTTATCTCCTACTCCAGAGCCTGTCCTTTCTTTGGACCATGCAGGGTTTGAACAATGCAAGTTAGCCAAGTTAAAGTTACTTTGCATCCCTCAACTTTGAAAGATCATTCCTTATTTGTTTGCAATTCCTTTCTTTATTTTTAAAAATTATTTTTGGCCGGGCAGGGCCCTGGTTGCGGTGAGCAGGCGTTATTCTTCCTTGGGGTGTGCCGGCTTCTCCCTGTGGTGGCTTCTCTGGGTGCCGGGCATGGACTCCACGGCTCCAGCGCTCAGTAGATGTGGCGCACTGGCTTAGCTGCCCTGTGGCACGTGGGATCTTTTGGAATCAGGGACTGAACCCGTGTCCCCTGCATTGGCAGGTGGATTCCTAACCGTCTGGACCACCAGGGAAGTGCTGGAAGTGGGATTCTTAAGTTGCCACCCTGCTAAAAGTCAGACAGACCCGGAAAGCGATGTGTTTTAACACCCGGGGAATGTTTACACATTCATTTGCCTTATAGTCAGAGAATTTCCAGGGCATAAGCCATACAGCCAGAAGGCAGGGTGTAGAGGAAAAGAGACAGAGATTGGGCACTCAAACAGAGGCTTCGCCTGATCTGCCTTGGAATAGAAGGCAAGTTTTCCCTCCTCAAGGTCCAGCCAGATGCCCACCACACTAGGTCTGTCTGAGCCGAGGACAGTTTCCTTGACCATGCACCACGCAGAGAGCCTGTTGGTCCCTTTCCACTCCACACACCAGGAGTCCGTGGTCCTCCCCAGGATCTGGTCACGCTTCATCCCCCGCGAAGCTACCCCGACTGCCCAGTGGCTGCAGTGCTGAGTGTCCACTTCCCAGTAATGCTGCCCGGAAGAGAGGGCCTGGGAACACAAGGCCTGGCTGGAGGCAAACCTCTCAGGGCTCCAGGAATTGAGCTTTGGGAAGGTAGACACAGTCACCGTCCGGAGATCCGTGGACACCGCGAGATTACAGGAGAGGCTCCCAAGCTCAAAGGTTGGACTGATGGCCCCTGGGGGAAAAAACCAGAACATGACCAGTCAGCTCTGACGGTTCATGCTACGAGGTCCTCAAGTAGCGAAAAGCAGCTGTGTATCTTTGAACGTGATACAGTTTTACTTATACTAGCATTACAGTCGGAACGTCAACTTACAGTGGAACCTTGTTATACATATCCCTGATGCTGTTCTAGTAACAATACCCGCCTCTCCCACCTTCATTTCTACTTACCCATGAGCCTTCTTTCAGGAAGCTGTCTGTGAAGCTCACCCCACAAAAGTCACCTCTTGCTCTTCCCCTAATGCTTTACCTGATCGCTAGTGATACTTACCATTTTCTACCTAGAGTAGAGTGATTGATGACCACGGCTGTTTACCTCTCTCTGGTTACACTAAGCTTCCTGATTAAGGCTCATGTCTTATTCGTTTTGTATATTCCATACTGTTTTCCACTAAGGGAGTAAATAATTGCTAATACACAGCATTCCTACTGAAACTCATATTTACACACGTTTTTACTCACTTACCCTGATGACAATCCCACAAGGAAAAAGTACTACTATCTCCATCTTACAGATGAGGGAACTGAGGCTCTGAGAGGTTACATGACTTCTCCAAGATCAGACAGCTAGTGAGTGGAGCAGCTGGCTCCAGGATCCGTGCCCTCAAGGATTATTCCAGACTTGGGCAGTGATGGTGGTTTAGCCAGGTTGGGGCATTGGCAGTTGGCTGTAAGTGATGGCTCCGGCATGGATGCCCAAAGGTTGCCTGTGTTCTGAGAGCTCAGGGGTCTGGCTCAGCCTGGAATTTGGGAGTCTTCAACCCCTTTTGCCTTTGTCATCAGCTCCCCATGGGGAGGGGCCAGGTGTGGAGGAACAAGCCAAGGGGTCTACCAGCAGAGAGAGGGACACAACCAGCTCTTACAGCTCTTTGCTCCACCAAGTCAAACCCACGCTGTAGGCAGATCACACACTTACATCGAGCAAACGAGGAAGCCTTCTTGGGTGCAAGGCGGCTCTGGTCAGGCGGTGGGCATGAGGAAGAAGATGGAACTTCTGGGAGTTCAACTATGGAATCAGAAACATTGGGAGAGGGAGATAGTCCCATCAAAAAAAAAAGAAAGGCACATAGAAGATATCCAAACATCATGATCAACACACACAGCTTGTCTTTCTCATCGTCAGCATTTGATCAGGGAGTACAGCCAGCTTACGTATATCTAGTCCCATGTTCTTACTGTGGACCTTTCCCCCCGCGACTGAGTCCTACACTCCTTGCTGGCAGAGATTTTATTCATCTCTGTATTCTAAGCATTTACCCGTTGCCAGGTACATAGGAAGTATTTAAAGCATATTTATCAAATAAATTAATTAATATGGTTCCAGGAGATCACAGCACCCTCACCCCCAGAATCTCCATGACCTCAGGTCAATGCTTTTTTTTTTTTTCAGGTCAATGCTTTAAACCGTTATTAAACTGGGAAATATGAATTGAAATGAGATTCATCACAACTGCTGATACCTATTTCCTCTCAATATACTGAAGTTTGGTTTTCATTTTATTGAAGTGTAGTTGATTTAGTGTTGTGTTAATTTCTACTATACAACAAAGTGATTCATGTATGCATATATATATTCTTGTCCATATTCTTTTCCATTATGATTCATCACTGGCTACTGAATATAATTCCCTGCGCTATACATTAGGGCCTTGTTGTTTACCCATCCTGTATATACTAGTTATACCTGCTAATCCCAAGGCTTGTCAGGTGGCTCAGTGGTAAAGAATCTACCTGCCAATGCAGGAGCCTCAGGAGATGAGGCTTCAATCCCTGGATTAGGAAGATCCCCTGGAGGAGGAAATGGCAACCCCTTCCAGTATTCTTGCCAGGACAATCCCATGGACAGAGGAACCTGGTGGGGTACAATTCATGGGGTTGCAAAGAGCCGGACACGACTAAGTGACTGAGCTAACCCCAAACTGTACTAAATTTTATTATTACCTTAAAGCTACTGTGTGCTTACAATGACCACAGGAAGTGGCAGAAGGGAAAGTAAGGGAAACACTAGGATATGGACTATGAAGGTGAAATCTTCCCCATTTGTATCCTGAAGGGACAGCAGCATAAACCGAACCTAAGAGTTGGATGATGTAAACTTACGGTGTAGACAGATACAGTACAGTACTGTAAATGTATTTTCTCTTACTTATGCTCTTCTTAATAACATTTTCTTTTATTCTAACCTGCTTTACTCTAAGAATATAGTGTATAGTACACAAAACATACGAAGTGTGTGTTAATCAACCGTTCATGCTGTCGTATGGCTTCCAGTCAACAGTAGGCTACTGGAAGTTAAGTTTTGGGGCAGTTTTAAGTTTTTGGTGCCCCTAATCCTCATGGGTTCAAGGGGCAACTGCACTCCCCAATAATTAAATTTGTATTACAAATAATCACCCATACTGGGTAAGCCCAAAATGGTTATCAAAACGGTAGTATGCATTAAAATCCCCTGCAAAGTTGGTAAAAATACAAATCCTTGGTACTTAGTCCCAGAGGTGCTAGCTCAATAGTTTGGCAACGGGGCCTGGATTCTGAATTTTCACTTTTTAAGGGTGAGAAGATTTTTAATTAATACTATGAAGTGAGCATAATATTGACATCAAAGTCAGAAAAAACACATTAGAAAAAAAAAAATAGACTAACAAACTGGAGATTATCTGAATTCTTTCTAGTGTTACAGAAAGTCCTGGGCCATGCCTTGAGAAACACTGTGCTGTTTAGGCTGCGTGATTTCCGTGGCAGCTCATGGTCGATTTACATAGGGTCAAAGGAAATCATTGTGAGGAGGCGGCCAAATTGCTTAGCAGCCGTTAAAGTGCTGACTTGAAGAACAGCTAATCTATTGTCTTAAAAACAATCTTGTGAGAATTTCAGGGAATGATGGTTCAGGAAATATTCAGATCTTGTGTTTCAAAGCTGCCCTGGACTGGCCCAAACAAATCAAAATCAAAACAGCCAAAATAGGGACTTCCCTGGAGGTCCACAACGACTTGCAGTCCCATGGTTAAGACTGTGAGCTTCCAGTGCAGGGGGTGCAAGTTCTATCCCAGGTTAGGGAAACTAAGACTCCATGTGCCTTGAAGCCGCCACCCCCCCAAAAAAAGACTCCTCTTTCCCCTACAGCGGAATAAGCTTTAAAAAAACAAAAATAGCCAAGATAATAAAAATCGTACTTGCTAAGACATACTTGAATTTTCTAAGTTGGATTGTTTAAAAAACTATTTTATTTATGAAGTTGCAGTGAACAGGGGCTGCTCTCTAACTGTGGTATCAGACTTCTCATTGCGGTGACTTCCCTTGTTGCACAGCATGGGTTCTAGGGCGTGCGGGTGTCAGTGGTTGTGGTTCTCAGGCTCTAGAGCAGAGGCTAAGTAGTTGTGTTGCACGGGCTTAGCTGCTTCTCAGCATGTGGGATCTTAGTTCCCCGACCTGGGATTGAACCAGGTTCCCCTGCACTGGCAGGCAGATTCTTACCCACTGCGCCACCAGCAAAGTTCTGTTATAATCTACATTTTTACTACTTAACATGTTAACACTGGCCAGAGATTATAGTTGAATAGAATTTATCAAGAACTGTATACAGAGTTGCATTCTTCATTAATAAGACATTTACTAGTGAAAAATTAAAAAGCCGCCTATTTCTGAATCTCCTCAAGCAGAATAACACAGGTGTGCAGTGAGCTAGCAAAATCAGGTCTAGGTTCTGGATTTATAAGTCTTAGAAAATGAGTTTCTGTCTATTAAGGGCCTGTGTTACATCACACCTCCAGTCAGGTCCAAAAACACATCCAGCCACAAAAATAGCTCAGCCCACTCCGTCCTCATTCACATCCCAGGGAACATGCAGCTGGGCTCAGAGATCCTGTTCCCCCAAAATGAAGCCATGGAACACTGCCCCAGCTTCCATAATCCAACCTCCTCTACCAAATAACATCAACTCACCCTGTGTTTGTTCTTCAAGGGCCCCTTTCTGAGTGAAGTTTTCTCGTAATTTTTCTTGGATCTCTTCTAGGTCATGGAGAATAGCTTTCATTTTTCGCTCAGGTGGGCTGGAACTCAGTTTGGGAGAAGCCAAGGAAACATCCACCCCTTCCAACAAAGTCTATTGATGAATAAGAACAGAATGAAAGAGAGGGAGGGGGAAGAGGGAGGGAAGGAAGGAAGAAAGACAACCTTTTAAGGAATGCAACAAATATATTCCAGTCCTGCCAACCATCTATAATTTTCTACTTACCTCCCAACAGGTTTTTCAAAATATAATTAGGCCCTCAAAATACATGCCTTGAAAACAATCTGGAATACATTATTACGGTAATGACATTAGAGAATAGCAATTTCTGGGTGACGGGGTTATGGATGGGTTGTGGTTCTTAAACTGCTATGTATTTTCTAGTATGCTGTACAACAGACACAGAATTCTAAGCTCATACCCCCCAAAAAGTTTTAAAATTTTAGGCCCATCTTATAGGGGCTTTACAAAATGAATAATACAGATAGGCACTAAGATAAGCCACAGAGGCTGAAACAGTCTTTCCCCGACTGCTATCATCTTATCATAATAACTCTTCCCATGGGCCAAGACAATCATGCTGCCTGCATCCAGTCTCTGGGGCCTCCAACACATACTCTTTGATTTTCTTTACCTTCAGGTCCTGTTTTTCCCCAACACAGTCTCTCATCTGCTCACCACTTTCCTACCTCCACTTGACTCTCCTTCCCAACTTAGGAAAATCCATTTCCCATTCTTTTGGTCAATCATAACAGGAGTAGGTACTACCTCTTGCATATTTTCCACTGCTCACCTCTAATTGCCTAACAACCTTCCAAGATAGGTTTATTACCCCCATGTTGCAAAAGAAGGTTAGGGCTGTGTGTGTGTGTGTGCTCAGTCGCGTCCAACCCCATGGACTGTAGCCCATCAGCCTCCTCTGTGCATGGAATTTTCTAGGAAAGAATACTAGAGTGGGTCACCATTTGCAGGATTAGGGTTAGGGTTAGTTAACTAAATCGCCACAGTTAATTTGATTTTCCCACATTTTCACATTGCTTAAGCACATTTTCATACAAGATATTGAAAAAAAAAAAACTCCCCATTAAACCAATGAGGAGCAGGCCACAGATATTTGTTGTTCTTGTTTTACAGATAGAAGCCTGAGACTCAGAAAGATGAAATGACTGGCCCAAGGTTTTAACACTTGTGAGTAACCACGTCAGGATTGTCAGACTCTCAGACTTTCTACCCCAACACGCTGGGTCCCTGAGGACCCATTTATTCACTCATTCAAATACTCCGGGTATTTACTGAGCATTTACTCTGTCCCCAGAACTGTGCCAGGCCTGGGAAAACAAGAGTGAACAAAAGAACAAAAGTCATCAAGGTCTCTGCCCGCCTAGAGCTTAAGAGTCCAGTGCTAGGAAGAGGAATGAAAGACATTAATAAATTATGGTATTAATCACTATCAAGTCACAAGTGTGACAACTGCTGCAAATGAAAGGTACATGGAATCACATACATGAGAGCTTCTAGTAAGGGGACTTGACTTGTTCAAGGAAATCAGTGAAGGCTTCTTCAAGGAAGTGATAATCTAGTCGAGGTCTGAAGGATGAGCAGGCATGACCTACATGACAGGGAAAAAGAACATTCCATGGTATGGGCCCCGTGATGAGAAGTGTGAGACTATAGTGGGAACAGAATGGAGTGATTAGGAGGCTTTGGTAGAAATCCAGATCAGAGATGGTCATAGCATTGGATTAGAGACGTTTTTAAGGAGCTCCAGAATAGTAAATAGGTTCAAGAGATGTTTAGCCAGGGGATGGAGGGGGGCGACATGATCCTCAGATTTCTGACTTGGGAACTTGGAAAGGTTACAGGGTCAGCTGCTCAGATGGGGTACCCAGAGGAGACACAGTTCAGGACAGATTAAGTGTGATGTGCCTCTGATATGTCAAGAGGAAAAGATGAGAAGCAAGACACCAGATCAGAGGAGGGTCCAGGCTGAAGCTACGTTTGTGCACAGGGTGGGTAATTAAAGCCACAGGTGTGGACAGGGCCATCTGAGGGAAAGAAACAGGGACCTACAACTCAGCCTTGAGGAATCCCAGCTTTTCACTGCTGAGCAGAGGACAGTAAACCTGCCAAACAGACGGAAAAGGAGCAGCCAGAGAGACATGGGGAAAGACTGGAAGACTCGTATCTCAGAGCTCAGGGGAAAGAAAGCTCCAAGAATGAAGCTGTGAAAAGCAGCGGACTCACTGATAAACAGAAAACAAATCTGTGGTCAGCAGTAGCTGGTGGGAAGTTGCTATATAGCATAGGGAGCCCAGCTCGGTGCTCGCTAATGACCTTGAGGGGTGGGACGGGAGTGGGATGGGAGGGAGGCTCCAGAGAGAGGGGGGAGATGTGTGTGTTCGTGTAGCTGAGTCACTGTGTGGTACAGCAGAAACTAACACAACAGTGTAAAGCAACTGTACTCCAATAATGAAATTTTTTAAAAAAGAAAAAAGGGGGGAAAAAGATCTTTTATCTCTGGTCATGGCAGAACGGGTTTCAAAAAAAATTTTCTTTTAAATATATTCAGTTATTACACAGTGTTTTGTAAAGATATACACATATATTAAATATATATAAATATTTTTAAAAAACACACAAATTAGTGGGGAGAGAGGTGAGAGAGGCAACATGGGGCCACGGGAGTGAGCGGTAAAAACTACTGGGCGTGAGATAGGCTACAAGGACGTGTTGTACAACACTGGGAACAGAGCCAATATTTTGTAACAACGGTAAATGAAATGTAGCTTTTAAAAATCATACAGAATTTAAAAAAAAAATGATGTTGTGGTCAACTATGTCATAGGCGGCTGAAAGGCCAATGAGAATAAAAGCTAGAAGGTCTGCAGGATTTGCACAGAGGTCACTGGTGATCTTCGGGGAGTAAGCTGGTTATGTGGAGTGATAAGGATGGATGCAAGCCTACTTGAAGCCTTCACACCTCACCTCAAACATTCCAAACTCCCAGATATCTGTGTTTGAAAAGTGAAAGATTGGGATTTAGCGCATCCTTCACGGGCAAACATATTCATGTTGCTTCCCAGAGGTCCCAGGGAGCTGTCCCTAGCCCCATCCCCAGGCACATCCTTTCTTCTCCCAGATGAGCCTACCACAGCCAGAATGCTCACTTCTTTATCTGGTTCAGATTCTGGGCGGTGTCTCGGACTCTGAAGGTTCCTGACAATATCTATAAGCCATTCCACCAGCTTTGCCAGCTCCTGGTCAACTTCTGTGATGCTCTTTGATGCCTCCACCTTTAAAAGAGCAAAGCAGAACATAAAGCTGGACCCAGAAACCAGCTCTAGACAGAGGGAGCCCTAAACACTGGATAAAGGAAACGGTCAAGGAAGTGACAAAAGTGTCTAGAGGAAAAGGAGGTAAAGTCCTCCTTCCGCATGCCCACGTCCCCCTACTGGTTGTTCAGTGGCCATAACAGGGAAGCAGAGTTCATCCATCGGATGGGGTTGGGGGAGTAGGGGGTGAGAGTGAGGCACGAAGGGAAGACTGGGGTCATTTTTAACTGGGGAAGTCAGAGAGGAAGCAGGGTGGGAGCCTGGGGATTTGGTGCAGGTGGCAGCTGGTAAGCTGCGTGGAAGGCATTTGGCTCAGGCTTCAGGCCCACTCTCACCACTGACTCATCCTGTGTCTTCACCACTCCTTTCAAAAATTAAAGCGACCACCTCTCGTTCCCTTTAACAGTGAAAAGCGTCTACTATGAAAGGATTGTGGAGATTCTAGATTGCTGTACAGATGCAAGCTCTTTTTTGTTTATTGGCATCCTTCACATTTAAAGAAACATTCAGATGAGAATGCTAAACAACTCCACTTCCAGAGCTTCATCTGTGCAGCTGCCTGGCTGAAAGTGGGAGGAAGTTTGGCCACCAACATATTCTGGCAACAACCTCAAGACCTGGAGAGGCATCAGGGGCGGGCGGGGCCCAGAACTCATTGGAGAAATCTGAATTACCTCCCAAAGGGATCCTACATAGAACCACAGAAATACAAGATTTTCATCATTCTACTCTAAATAAACCAGAGTTTTTAATAACTTTTTGGGGGGACAGCTTTCACTTTTTAAATTATGCTGGAACCTCAAAAACTGGAACTAATTTTTCATCTCTAAGAAGCACTGATGTCCCTCAAAATAGCATGTGTTTCAGAAGTCATATGCAGACTAATTTGCAGAGGAAGGTGGCTGGCCACTGGTAACATTCTTTGCTCTTGTATGTCCAGGTCTCACTCCTAAACATTCTGGCAGCTGGAATTCTGGAGTGGAGCCCTTATCTAGACACCTGAGCAAATTAAAAACTTTTATAAATAAGTGTTGGTGCTTTTTCTATCCATAAAACTGCACACTTATCATGCTGAATTTAGAAATTGCAGAGAATTGAAAGAAGAAACATTTTAAAACATCCATATCCTACCATCCATAGGCAATTGTAATCTGAAAGCCAATGCAAAGTATATTCAGTCACTATACTAACAAATAGTTTTAAGGACCTGAGGGATAATGCTGTATTTATTCATCTGTGGCCACACCACTCGGCTTGTAAGGTCTCAGTTCCCCGACCAGGGATAGAACCCAGGCCACGGCAGTGAAAGCGCTGAATCCTAACCACTAGACCACCAGGGAACTTCCAATGCTGCATTTATAACCAAGAAGAAGAAAACAGCTTTAATTATAAGGGGGGGAAAAAAGGAAGCAGCCAATATGTCCATTAAAAGGTGAATAGACAAACTGTGGGACATGTATGCAATGGAATATCATTTGGCAATAAAAAGAAATGAGCAGTCAAGCCACAAACCTTAATCATGTTTAGTGAAAGAAACTAGTCTGAGAAAGCTAGATACTGTGTGATTCCAATGGTATGACATTTGGGAAAAGCCAAAGAGATAGCAAAAAAATCAGTCACTGCCAGGGGTTGGCGGGGGGTGAGGGGATACAGAAAGGTGGGGCTCAGGGGGTTTTCAAGGCAGTATAGCTATAACTGCAGATACCTGACTTCATGCATTTGTCAAAATCCATAGACTGGTACAACAGGGAGTGAACAGCAACTATGGATTTTAGTAAATGATGATGTATCAATATCGATTCACAGGACTCCCCTGGTGGTCCAGTGGTTAAGAATCCGCTTGCCAGTGCAGGGAATTGACCCTTGGTCCGGGAAGATTCCACATGCCACGGGGCAAGTAAGCCTGTGCAGCGCAGTCACTGAGCCCGTGCCCTAGAGCCCCTACTCCATCCACAACAAGAGCAGCCACCGCAATGAGAAGCCCAAGCACTGAAACTAGAGCGTAGCCCCCACTCAACACAACTAGAGAAAGCCCGTGGGCAGCAATGAAGACCCAGTGCAGCCAAAAAAATAAATAAAAATTTTAAATACTGGTTCATAAATTGTAACAGGAACCAAACTAATGCAAGAGAGTAATAAATAAGGAAAACTGTGAGGGGAATAAGGGAACTTTCTGCAATATCTGCTCAATTTTCTATAAATCCAGAACTGCTCTAAAAAGTAAAGTCTATTGATTATTTTTGAAAAAAAAAAAAAAAAGAGGAGTAGATAGTTCGAAGCTTTCTGGCCCTCCATCAATCCCTAGCCTGCCCCAACACATCACACACAGGAACATCACAAAACAAGCAGAAACTGTCAGAACCAACTTTTTGAGGCAGAACTCTGGCAATCACTGAATCAAAAACAACACAGACTGGCAGTAGGAAGCTTTGTGACATTCTGACCTGCACTCGCCGCATTTCCCTTCCTGGCTCAGTGACAGGACTGAAAATCTCCAGCATGACACTCTGGTCCTGGTTCCCAAAGGCAAAGAAGAGATCTTAGTCACAAACCATTGCATATGTTTGTTCTAACCAGGCTTGGGGCTGTCTGAGGGAATGACACAGGGTGCTCATTCATCTTTGTTTCACCTAACTTGGAGCTCAGCCCAGAGAGGTGATGGGCATTGCTCAGAAATACCGCAAGAGGAGTCTAACTTGCAGGTGTCCGGGGCAAAAGGTCATGGTGTAAACTGACAATATCCTAAGTCCCGGTGGCTAACAGACTAGGAGCAAATTGACCTAAGTCCCTGGAGCAAAAGTTGACGAAAACTGGAACCCTTCTACTTTGTTAATGGGAATGCAAAATATTGTTGTTATGTGGAATGCAGTTTGGCTGTTCCTCAGCTAGCTAAACACAGAATTGTCATGTGAGCCAAGAATTCTGCTCCTACTTCAAAGAACTGAAAATAGGAACTTGGATATCTGTACACCAATGTTTACGGCAATCTTACTTGTGAGAACCAAAAGGTGGAAACAATCCAAATGTCCATCAGTGTTTGAATGGATTAAAAAAAAAAGTGGTATAATCAAACAAGGGATTTATTATTCAGCCACAAAAAAGGGAATGAAGTTCACAATTCCCTGGTGGCCCAGTGGATACAAATCCGCCTGCCAATTTAGGGGACATGGGTTCGATCCCTGGTCTGGGAAGATTCCCCCTACCTCAAAGCAATTAAGCTGCTGCCCAACAACTTCTGAGCCTGTGCTCTAGAGCCTGAGAGCCGCAACTACTGAAGCCTGTGTGCCCAAGAGCCAGTGCTCAGCAACAAGAAAAGCCAAAACAATGAGAAGGCTTCACACTGCAACTAGACAGTAGCCCCCACTCACAACTAGAAAGCCTGAGCAATGAAGCAATCTTCATAGCAATGAAGATCCAGTGCAACTGAAAATAAACAAATGAATGGTTACCAAAAAAAAGGGAATGAATTTCAGATATATGCTACAACATAAATGAAACTTGAAAATGGTATAGCAACTGAAAGAAGCTAAGGCCAGAAACAAAGTGGCAAATACTGCATGATTCCACTTGATTGAAATATATAGAGGAGGCCAAGTCACAGAGACAGAAAGTAGATGAGAAGGTACCAGGGGCTGGAGCGAAGGGATAAGTCACTGCTTCACGGGTACAGAGTTACTGTTTGTGGTGTTGAAAAGGTTTTGGAACTCGGTCGTGTTGATCATTGCACAGCAATGTAAATAGAATGCCACCGAACTGTACATTTTAAAATGGTTAAATGGCAAATTTTATGTTATATAACGTAAGCATATTTTAGCACAATTAAAAATCGACTGAGCGACTGAACTGAAAAATCGTCAGAGAGATAGACAGGCTGCAGAAAGAGAGGAAATAAGTGGAAATAGGACAGGGTAGATAGTAAGTTGACAGGATTTCAGATTTGGATTTTTTTTTTTTTCTGCTCCTTCATATTTCTCTGAATTTTCCAAAGAACGGGTTCTATGTACAGCCTGAGAACACTAAAGTGAAAGTAGAAACAAAGAGGAAGAGAGGAAGCGCCCTGAGGGTACTGGGGTGCAGGCGGCGCGGATGAGCGGAGGGCAGAGCAACCGCCGGTCCCGCCTCCCTACCCGCGGCTGCGCCGTGGGGCGCCCAGCTACGGGCGCTGGGCGAGGTGCCGGACCGGGCTCCGGGCCGGGGTCCGGGCTCGGGGCCTCCAGCTCTCGCGCCGCCCGCCTGTACTTGTCGGCCAGGTCCTCCAGCATGGTGTTCTTCCGTAGCTGCGGCGGCCCGGGGGCGCCCTTGCGGCAGGTGGGGCAGAACCGGCCGCGCCTCGCGTCCCACAGGTCCACCAGGCAGTCGCGGCAGAAGGTGTGGCCGCAGGGCAGCGTGGCGGGCCAGGCCAGCAGATCGTGACAGATGATGCAGCCCAAGTCCTCCTCCGCCAGCCACACGGGGACGGCCCCGCCCGCGTCCAGGCCCGCCATGGTCCCCAGGCCGCCCCCGCCCCCGCGGCGCGGGCGCGGAAGTCGGGGCCACGTGGGGGCCGCCTGCCCCGGCTACGTCTTCGCCGGCTCCTCCCTCGCTCTCTGCGGGTCCGCTCCTCCTTCGCTGCCGCTCAGGTCCACCCTCGTTTCCTTTTTCCAGTCCTACTGCGAGCTCACTGGGAAATCAGCTCGCCCCAAGCCGCTAGAAACAGGCCGATGCCATAAACAGAAAGGAATTTGAGTCCGGCTGTAGTGACCCAAAGCCTGTTATACAGAGTGAAGTAAGTCGGAAAGAGAAAAACAAATATTGTATATTAACACACACACCAGCCAATCCTAAAGGAAATCAACCCTGAATATTCGTTGGAAGGACTGAAGCTGAAGCTCCAATACTTCGGCCACCTGATGCGAAGAGTTGACTCATTGGAAAAGACGCTGATGCTGGGAAACAGTGAAGGCAGGAGGAGAAGGGGACAGAGGATGAGATGGTTGGATGGCATCATGGACTCAATGGACATGAGTTTGAGCAAACTCCGGGAGATGGTGAAGGACCAGGAAGTCTGGCCTGCTGCAGTGCATGGGGTTGCAAAGAGTCGGACACAACTGAGCAACTGAACAACAAAGAACAACTCCCCCACACACATATAGAATCTTAAAAAAAAAAAAAATGGTACCGTTGAACCTATTTTCAGGGCAGGAATAGAGACACAGGCATAAAGAACGGACTGGTGGACACAGCGAGGGGAGAAGGCGGGGAAATTGAGAGAGTCGCATTGGCATATATACATTCATGCTAGTGCTCAGTGACTTGAGTCATGTCTGGCTGTTTGTGACTCCATGAACTGTAGGCCACCAGGCTCCTCTGTCCATTGGATTTTTTTAGGCAAGGATACTGGAGTCGGTTGCTGTGTCCTCCTCCAGGGGATCTTCCCCACCCAGGGATGGAACCTGCTGTCTCCTGCATTGCAGTCGGATTCTTTACTGCTGAACCACCAGGGAAGCCCCATATATACACTACTATGTGTGAAGTAGATAGCTAGTGGGAAGCTGCTGTTAGCAAAGGGAGTTTGGCTCAGTGCTCTGTGATGTGAAGGAGACTTAAGAGGGAGGGGAATGAATGTATACTTAAAGCTGACTCTTGTTGTACAGAAGAAACCAACGCAGTATTGTAAAGCAACTATCCTCCAATTAAAAAAGAGAAAAGCCAGCTCATTAAAACTATAAAATTTTTTAAAAAGAAAGAAATGTGCTGATATCCCCAAATTTTCTTTAGCCTTCTGTTCCCCAAACCCCATTAAATTGCGACCTGGACGACTCTCTGGAGAAGAAAAAGGAGAGGATTCAAGAACATGTTTTCTGAGATGTGCCCACTAGGTGTCATTCAGTTACTCCATCAAGCAGTGAGGGATTGAAGAAGACTGGGTGCAGGTAGCTGGCAAGCGCTTTAAAGTCTGATTTCTTTGTCTAGGGTGCAGACCCGGCATGGGTAGTTTTTAAAACCTAGCCCAGATGATTCTGGGGCTTCTCAGGTGGCACTAGTGGTAAAGAATCCACCTGCCAATGCAGGAGATGCAAGAGACACCGGTTTGATCCTGTATTCTTGCCTGGAAAACTCCATGGGACAGAGGAACCTGGTGGACTACAGGCCATGGGGCTGCAAAGGGTCGGACACAACTGAGCACACACACACAGAAGATCCTAACGTGTCAAAGTCAGGTGACCCTTAGACTTTTAAAATCGTATTACAATGCAGAATTGTGCCACTGTTTCCTTACTACTCCCTGCTGGCTGAAAGCGCATTACCTGCTAGACTTCAGGATGAAAATAACTGAGTTTTCTGTTTGCTTGAGGGAGCACACCTGGCCCTGGTGGGGCTTTCTCTCTTCTTCCTCTGTTATTCTAGCCTTATGTTCATGACAAACACATAATATATAGGAGCTGGAAGAGCAAAGTCCCCAAGAGGCAAATGAACTTTCAGGCTTACACAGCAATACCTGAATGGCAGAGACCAGGACCCTTATCTCTGTTATCTGTTGAAATGAACTAAAAATGTCCTATATTTTATTTCACCCCATACTGCCTGGGATCAAAATATGTACCAGATAATATAAATTTGTGGCTACTTCCAATGCTGGAAATGACAAGAAATACTCTTTAGTGCTGCTCATCAAAGTCTGCACTGTCTATATGTGAAAAAAATAGCATAGTGATCCACCACCAGACATTATTTTTAATAGCCTCTCAGCTGACAACTTGATTAGATTTTCCTTTTTTGTTGTTGTTGAAAGCAAAGAATTTGAAACCGCCTGTGTTGCAAAAGTTATTGGAATTAACCACTTTCTCATTTTCTGGGAGGTAGGCTAAAAAGACTTTGAAAAAAATGTGAAAGTCGCTCAGTTATGTCCAAATCTTTGCAACCCCATGGACTGTAGCCCACCAAGCTCCTCTGTCCACGGAATTCTCCAGGCAAGACTAGTGGAGTGGGTTGCCATTCCCTTGTCCAGGGGATCTTCCTGAACCAGGGACTGAACCCAGTATAACTGGTATAACTATCGATTATACCAGTTACTCTTTTACTTAGAGGCACTTTGTTTAACCTGATATACTCAGAAAGGCCTAGGAGAATTAGAATATTGATCATTTATATAGACCTTTGTTAATCGAATTTTTTTGAAAGATACTTGTATCTTAAATACTTGAAATGTATGTCCTTCGAAAGTTTGGAGCTGCGAATTTAGCTCATTCAGTACAGGTAAAATATATGCCACACAATCTAATTGGCTGTGCCAGTTCTCTTAGTTAAACCAGTTGGTCAGATCAAACTCATCTTCTATCAGAGAGTCTGACATCGTTGTTAAATTCGAGTGGATATGTTAATATACATCCCTGTAATGCTGAGCTCTAATACTAAGTCAGATGGGAAAGGACAAGGGTCTTGAGTTTGTATGCAACCGCCATTAATATATTCTGTCAGGACTCCTTTGTTTTGTTCTCACTTCAGGGACAAAGCATATTTTATCAGGGGAAACGTCAGTAAACTGCTAACCTAAAATAATAAAACAGCCAGTTATTTTACCAGCAAAAGGGGTTTATTTGGGAGCAGCAAAGAATTGCAATTCAGGACAGGGAACTATGGTGAACCACATACAACTCCAGTTATGCAAAGGACAGGAAACTCTTTTATTATAGAGAAGGAGGGGAAGTTGGGATAGACTTCTAGAAACAAAAGGTCCATTGGAAGAGTTTGAAGTACAGTGGCTTTTTATTGGCTGAGCTGTTGCCAGGCAAGGAAAAAAAAATCTTTCTGCCCCCTGCTGGCAGAAATAAAGCAGTGTCATTTCCTGCTGGTGCTGCAAGGTACATCTCTTCCTATAGGGGTCTGTATTGACATGGAGTTGTGAGTACCTAATAGAGCTTCGTGCTTCTGGCCTCCTGACTCCTGGTTAGTTTTGCCTTAATTAATTTTCACCAAACATACATCACCCATATTTCCACTCTGAGGAATGCAGAACACCCAAATATAAGCCAAACACCCTATTTTTAATGCCAAACTTTATCACCAACAAAAATCTGCATTAAATGAAGGAAATCACAAACCCTGATCTCAATGCCTTGATTTAAGACTTCACTGGCACTGTTAAAAGAATGAAAAGTTATGGACTGGAAGAAAATGTTTGCAAATCCTATATCTCTAAGGACTTGTATCCAGAATCCAGAAAAAAAAACTTTCAAAACAATAAGAAAACGAACCATTTAATATCACATTTGCATTGACAAAACTGTTTCATCTTCTGGGGATAATTGCTTTAACTTTATTTTATTTTTTTTTTATTTATTGTTTTTATCTGGAAAATAATACACTAAAGATAAACTTATCAAAAACAAGTCTTATGAACAGGCATTTTAAATGTTTAATATTGGACTAATACAATAATAAAACACCTGTGAAATTTTGAACATTGTTGTTGTTCCAGATAGAAAAGGTCTAACTTAGATTAAATAAGATCTGAAACACCTTTATGAAACTTATTTTGCTCAATGGGTATGATATTAAAGTTATGTATATATGGAGGTGAAGTGAAAGCTACTCAGCTGCTCTTTTTGACCCCATGAACTATAGCCCACCCAGCTCCTATATCCATGGGATTTCCCAAGCAAGGGTAGAATACTGGAGTGGGTTGCTGTTTCCTTCTCCAGTTGCTTTAACTTTAAAGAAAAGCATATTAGTTTGAAAACTGTGCCTCTCCAAGTTGAATAAATTTGCGAACTCTAGTGTAAACTAGTATTATTTTAAAGGGAGACTATATAAATTTAAGAGCAAGTTCAGTATCAATAAAGTGTCCTGCAAATTCCTCTTACAGCTTTTTGGACAATTTATATTACTACTGGTTATAATTAAAGTGTTCTGTATATTGATTCATGTTAGAAAAGTGTATAAAATTGTCATTATTACCAACAAGGACCTACTGTATAGCACATGAAACTTGGCTCGATGTTATGGGGCAGCCTGGATATGAGGGGAGTTTGGGGGAGAATGGAAACATGTATATGTGTAGCTGAGGTGTAGCTGAGGCCCTTTGCTGTTGACCTGAAACCATCCCAAAATTGTTAATTGGCTATACCCCAATACAAAATAGAAAGTGTTTTAAAAATTATTACTGATTTGTATTATTAAATGTTTTCATCTCAACATAAATTCTTGTAACTGCTTAGCTAAGTCACATATTAACCTTTACTTAGAGCTTCAAAATTAGCTCATTCATATGCAGTGTGACATGAGTGTGAAAACATAATCACACTGCCTTAGGCCTTCGATTATTGACTATTTTGCAAGCACTCCTTTAGTTTCAAGAAAATCTTGAGTTGAAATGAACAGTACATTAAATAATTGTAAAACTTGTTCAAAACTCAACTAAAAAAATACGAGCTCACTGAATTGTCTTCCATATCTTTCAACAGTTCTATAAATTGGCAGTGCTTCATAGCATGTTCATGTACAC